ACATTGAAGATACACTACAATCTTCTTACAAAGGACTACAGAGAATTCTAATTAGCAACAAAAAGAAAAAGCGTCAAAGACTCAGACTTAAAGCCGGATGCCTCAACTCAGACACACAAAAACAGGCAAACTGTGTTGTCAACCTCTCATCAGAAAAAGCTACAGAAATAGCTCTACTTACAAAAGGATTGACATCCTGCCCAGCAAACGTCATAGACAAAATCATTCCATGCCATAACATTCTTCAGAAGGCTATGGCTTAAAGGATACTTCTATGACAAGATGGAGCACATGTAAATTAAAACTAAAGAACAACAATTCTACAAAAACAAATCCACCAGGATGCTTAGACCTGGAAGGAACCCCACTCTGGAAAGATATATTGACAAACCATCCAAGGGTGAGTGTGGATGAGGAACTGGACCATGAACTTTCTCTAGTCGAATAAGAACAATATTTGGACCTGATAGCTTGGTTCCGGCAGCTCCTTATAAAAGGGGGCACCCTCTAAAGGGAGGGGATGTCCAGAATAAGAGATCCATGTGAATGAAGACTAAAAAAGAGCGCCAGGTAATCATCTCGAGAGTAAAAAAAAAAACCTTTATTGGTTTCACAAATGGCGACAAAAAGATATGCATATTGACAAAAACACTCAGCTATTAATTCCTTCAAGGAGAACAAGGAGATTATAACAAAGCCTTTAGACAAAGGGAATGCCATAGCCATAATGAACACCAGTGATCATATACAGGAAGCACACAAGTGGCCATCAAACACTAAACTCTACACCAAATTACAAGGGGACCCTATAGATTCCAACAAGGAAAAAACTCACAAGCATGGTGAAAAGCCTAGCTGCAGGAATTAGAGGTCAGGTATTGACCCAAATATTTGAGGAACCAAGGGTGGGCTGATTTTACATGCTTCCCCAAAAACCATAATGAAGGGAACCCAGGCACCCAACAATCTTAGGTATGGTAACACTTACTAAAAATATCTCAGGTTGGGTGGAAAATATCTGAAAACTTGTCTCTAACACACCCAACTATTTTTAAGGCACAACCAATCTCCTAAACAAACTTGCTGCCATTGGCTCTGTTACTAAAGGACCCATCCTGGCCATGGATATAGAACCCTTATATACCAATATTCTTCATGATAATGCTATTGCATTGTGCATGTAGTATATTCAAAAACTGGACCAGTCTGCTGAACTAATTACTGATACAATTAATCCTGACCCACAACTATTTTGTCTTTGGCCAAGACCTCTACTTGCAGCAGATGGAAGTGGCAACGGTATCCCAGTTTGCCCTCCAAAATGCAAATCTTTTTATGGCTAAAATAGAGGAGTGCTCATCTAAATGCCCCATTAAACTCTTGACCTACTTTTGCTTCATTGTTGATTTTTTTAAATTATTATTTCCACTGCAAGGTGAGGAGGAACTTTTTTACCCAATTTTACAGGAACAACAAATTTCACCCCACAATAAAACTACATTAAACCACTTACAAACACAAAATAAACTTCCTGGAGACTATAATACGCACTAAAGGAACAGGTTTGCAAATATGCATCTACAGAACACCAACAGACCATTTAGCATACCTCCGGCAAGACAGCTTTCATCCCAGGAGATCTGTTATCTATAGTCAGGCCATAGGATATCATCAGATCTCATTACACACCACAGATAGAAATGTCCAATTAGAACACCTTAGGAGGGATGTCATAAAACTGGGATATAATCCAGTGACAACCAACGTACAGATAAGGAAAGCAATAACATCTCCAGAACTGGATTTGTATACTATACACAGACTGAAAAGGATAATTGGATCTCACTGGTGGTCATCTACAACCCAAGCCTACAAGTTCTAAAAAAAGAGATCATAAAGGAGCTCCAGCCTCTTTGACACAAAGCTAAAAGGGTCAGGTTCCACCCTGACTTTAATGGTTTGCAGAATTCTGGCTTGGCTGCTATTTTACTCACCTGTGTCTCCTTCTTTGCCTGAGCAAACTCTGGAACGTTCCTCACTACTCCCATTCTCCCTCTTATGGCCAGACAGGAGAGCATCATCTGAGAGAGTCAGATGGGAGTTTCGTGTCTCTGAGTGATGATGTCACCCCCACTCACTATATATAAACCACTCAGTCCAGTCTGACCTTGCCCTTCCTGCTAGTGCATTCCTGCTGCTCTGAATATCCTGATTCTGTGTATGACCCGATCCTGGCTGATGTTCTCCTCTGGCTCCTGCTCCTGGCTCGTTCCTGACAACGCTGATTTCCTGGCTCCTGCTCCTGGCTTGTTCCTGACGACGCTGATCTCTGTGTTCCTGACCTGGCTTGAACGACTACACACTCCTGACTTTGGCTTGTTCCGGTTTATGATTCTGCTTGCTCCTGTGGACACTGTTCTTAATAAATGTTTTAACTAGCACCTTTTGCTTGTCTGATTTTTATTGTGCTCTGACAAAAAGGCTTTCAGAAAAATTCCTGGTCTCCCAAAATATAAACAACAATCCAATCTAAGACAGCTTATTGTTCCCTAAATAGCCCAGTATTAATGGAGCATCTCTCTGAAGGCAGAAGAGATTGGAAGCCTACATACATATCCTCAGCACTGAAAGGGTACCAGGGGCACTTTTTAGTTCAAAGGTTTTTATTGTTTTCCAAAATAAAGAAATAAAGAAATTCCAGCTTACATAAACATCATAAACAATGAAATCAAGGCTGTACATACAGCCCTATAAATCAAGAAGGACTTAAGCACATTACAATCTGTGTTACGTATGTCGCAGGAAATAGACCGCACACAGCTAGTCACACAATGTATGTTAATCAGTCTTCTATTACAAACTATAGAGCAGTGGTCACACCACCTTTCAGGCTTCGCTTGAACACAGGAAACTTGTGAAGGAGACACAGTTCAAAGAAGAGGGGATGGAGATCCCGAAAAAATAGTCTCTCCCACCGCCGCTCTGACTGGGCTGGACAGCCGCATCGCAACAGCAGCGGGTGCACACGGGGGGGCAAGCAATAACCTAGGGGGGGCAATTGCCCCCCTGTAGCGACGCCACTGAGCTGCACACAGCGTGCGCCAGTTTAAGTAGTAACCAGCACACGCCGTATGCAGCTTCTAACAGCGTGGGATACGGGAGGCCGCACTTTTAGTGGATACAGGGATCAGGTGAATATGAAAAATAAAAACGTTTGTTTTATGTTCCCGGGGATAAAATGTCCCTGGATTTTGTTTTTAAAATGTTGTCACCTTACCTTGGCCTGGTAGTCAGTGGGGGACTCCATGGACCCTGATTGTGGGGGGGCGGGGTGTTTGCTGTGGCCGCAGCTGCAGTGGTTCTCTCCCTCTGCCGACTGTCTGTCACCTGCACCCGGCCGGTCCGCATCCGATGCGGCTCTGCGATCGGCGGCCGCTCGGTCTTTACTTCGGGCCTCTAGGCATGGACTTAACCACCGGGGGACTGTGGATCAGGTAAGTAAAAGTGCTTTACTCCGCTCCCCTAAACAAGCACTTAACCCTTGCACCACAAGGGTAGCCCCACTACAAGGGTTGTTTTTTGGTTTACCCGGAGATGTGCTTTAAACACTGCAAATTAATTTATTATCCGGCTTCCAAGTCATGAAAGCAATTTCTAACAACACATCTATGTAGAATGCAAATTGGTAAGTCAGTTATCAACTGGAGCACTGGGCAGGCAGTAATCATAGATACATATCACATTTAGTGCACAGAAACATGGACAGGGACGGGATTTGTGTTCATTCGATTTGTTCGGGAACATTAGAGCAGGCAGCAGGGATCAGTCTGCTGAAGATATCACAGGGAACAGTTGGCGGTAGGAATCTGAATTATCAGCGGTAGTGGTGGCGGTGGTAGAAGAGCTGTTTGTATCAGTTTGTCAGCTCGGGAACATTACAGTGTTCTGTCCGTGTGCTAATTACCTTCATTACTTCATCTCTTTCTGTTCAGGCGTGCCAGGACACATACATAACGGAGTTTAATGCAACGTAAAATCACATTTCAAGCGCCAGTGCAATTAACCTTGGACATTACACAGCAATGTGCTAGTGATAATTAAGACAATCATTCATGCTCACATAGCAAACCGTAAGGCTCAATATACACGGGTCGATGCTGAGGCGAAAAATCGATGCAAGTTTAATATATTCACATTATCTTTATGATTATCAGTGAGCCAACGACAGTATGCTGCATTGGCCAATCAAGTTATGTGATCTGTATGTGTCTGATCATTTGTCTGTGAAATTTTTGTATAGGAAAGGGCCAAACATTTTTGAACCATACATTCATAAAAATCGTTACGGGCTCTGTGGATGTTTCTGCTGTTTATCCTCTAACCTCAGGCAGCATGTGGCACTAGTGGTTCAGTTGAAAAGTCTGATAGTCAGAATTCCTTTAAAAACTATAACTTATCTCTACTAGCAAAGTGTGCCTGTTCCTAGAAAGACATTCACAATGTTGTGTTTTATCTATGTGTAAGAGGACCACAACAGACCCCTATCAAGGCCAGAGCTACAGCCCTCATTGATGCCAAGTTGAGGCTCTTCCACCTGGGGCCCCCACATACCAATACTTTGTTGACTCCTGCCATCATAACTGGAAACCTATCCATAGGAAAGAATTACATACAGTATGGAGTTATTTATACTCATGAACATGTGATAACATCATTACAATTAACATAATCTTAGAGGCATACTGACTAAGATGAAACCAAAACCACCTCAGAAGAAGACCTCACTAAGGAAAGGCAACCATGTGATCAGAAAGCACTTAATAACTTGTTCTGGGAAGAACAGCTGAGAATAACTAATTAGCCAAGGGTTTTATGGTCACATGGTTGGCTACCTCTCAAGCACTACTGCTTGAAAAGAGATGTTGGTTGTATCTTTAGTCTGCACATCAGAGCAAGTAAGCTCTTATCTCAACCACATAAAGGCTTACTGTCTGTCTTACCTCCATCCACTGGCCCTGAGACTGCATGAGGAGCAGGACACATGGGTCAGACTTGTTGAGCGTATCCCTATCAAGCAGGTTCTTGCAGCACACGCGAAGCTCCACTTTAGACACACAGCTGGCTGTAACAACCCCAAGAGAGGATGGCGATGCCAAGTCTGGAATCTCATTCATCATCTTGGCAAAATTAGTGTTGTCACTGTATCGCAAGAAACTGGTAACAAAGTAATTAGGAGATGATGGGACCTCAAGATGCTGGTCAGCAGGAGGCTGTGCCCTCCATTCAGCGTCTGTTCTAATGAATGTCTGGACCATGGAAGTCCTCTGAAGACCTCAAAGATTGTGACCCGACTTTTATGACTAAAAGATGGTGTCCTGACTTCTATGACTCAAAGATGGTGTCCTGACTTCTATGACTCAAAGATGGTGTCCCGACTTCTGTGACTCCAGTAATTTGCTATTATTTCAGCGTAGGAAGCGGGATGGGAAAAGTAGAAGAAGGTGTTCTTCAAGTGATGGGTCATGGGTCAGTTCACTTGATCTTCTGACCTTCTAAAATGTACAAGCAGATTTGCTTAAGCCCATGAGGTCAACATTCGCAAATAAAAATGGCAAACTTTGTTTTTTTTTCAGTGGCTTTGGTCCATGATATACTGTATGTCCCTTTATTCCTTGTTCAAAATCTGAATCGCCTTGTGCAAGACTTGAAGTGTTCTTTATTTTTTAATGCGAATTTGGCAATCAAGATATTTGACCCGAGAGGCCCTGCGCTTCTCACTCAGAGAGGAGTTGTACCCATAGATTTTTATCAGGTGCAATTAGAAATCTCTCTGTTATTTCGAGAAGTCTCTCATGTATGACTGGAGGTGTTTGGGGATGCCCCTGCAGATGGCGAGATGATACTATCACAATGTTTTCTTGAGCTTTGATGACAGGAATCCCAGTGGAGTGAAACAATAGACAAACCTTTCCTGGAAGAGGAAATAAGGAGGAGGCATGTGAGCTTGTTTCTTCCTACAAGACAAAAAAAAGAAAATCTGTCATGTATCTTCAGGGCTTCGATTACATATCCCAGCGGGAGCAGAGCAACGCAAGATAGCAACCCACATCTGTAATATGCAAAGCTAATGTGTCATAGAGACTCTGTGTCATTTTGGTTCAATCACTGAACTTCAGGAGTCATTAAGGTCAATGTCTTAAGACAGATTACAGAATTTTGGGACAGTTATCATGTCGACTGATGCATGAGTTATCATCAAAACTGGTGCATGAGAACAATAACAGCCAATCAGAAGTCTGCTTTTTTTAATTTGGGTTAGGAAAATGGCTTAATAAGTCTAATTTATAAAAGGTAGATGTAAACCAGTGACGTGCGGTACTTTTGGTTCCGGGTGAGGCATTCTCCAGCCTCGCCCCCAGCCCGCCAAAGCCCCGTCCCCAGCCCGCCGAAGCCCCGCCCCCAACCCGGTCCCCAAGCTAGTGTGAAGGAGGGAGGGAGGAGGAAGGGAGGAGACAGGGAGAAGCCTGCCTGTCCCTCACTTGCTCATCACTGCTAAAGCATCGAGATTGATGGCCTCCGTGAGTTTTTTTTTCTTTTTTTATTGGACAACTTGGACCAATGGCGCTTTGCCATTGGTCCAAACCCTCTACAGATCTCATGCCTCTAACACAGAGTAGAGGCTGTGACAGCTCTTGCCTCACTAGTTAGGTTACACAAGCAGTGGGGAAGCCCGCTGCTGTGTAACCTAACTACCTGTCAAAAGCTGAATGCAGCGCTGCCTGTAATTAACAGGCAACGCTCCATCCATGACAGGTTACACAGCGCGGGGGATTTCCCTACTCTGTAACCTGCTAGAAACCAATCTGAATGGAGAAAAAGCTGACAGCTTTTTCCTCCATAATACTAGGTGAGGCTCTGCCCCACCTGCCTCCCCTGACTGCACGTCCATGATGTAAACTCTGACTGTATTGCTAACTATTCACAAACAACTGCCTTTTAAAAAAAACTCCAGTTATGGCTGCATGGTATTTCCCAGGGCGGGTTTCCTGATGGCAACAACAGTGGTTGAACTGCCTCTTGTAGTTTCCACAGGAAACCCATGTGACAGGGTGACAACGCAGGAGCACAACTGAGACACAGGGACAGAGCGTTTTCAACCTATAACAGGAAATGTCTGAACAAGGACCTTCATGGCAGGATCATATAGTGTATATTTTAATCAAAGCTGCAGATTTAAAAATGCTATTGCTACTTATTTAGTAACTTTGTCTGAGCCTGGCTCTATAACTCAATAGTCAGAGGTCAAAGGGCACCTGAAGTCTGATAGTTGCTGCTTGACCTCATACACTATCTCTGAGCTGTGGAGCAAATAACAAATGAAAAAATCCTCTATCTAATAGAAATGTAACGACTACATGGCTCTGTTATTTCATACTGTTACGAGCAAGTGAAATCAGGCAGTTCAAAAGACATGTACTATCAGACTTCAGGGGACCTCTGACCCCTGGCTATCAAGTAGAAGTTGCTGCCCTCTAAACTGCATGACTGCACACAACAGCGTTTCTTCTTCTCACTATTCCATCAAAGTTCAACTTAATTCTTCCCTTGCCCCCCCCAGTAGTGACCCAGTAACTCAGCTTCCCCTACACCCCCCTGTCAACAGTGACACAGTCTTCCAATCCCCAATGTAGGCAAGGAGCAGGCCATGAAGGTTGAGCTAAGCTGCTGTGAAAAAAATGCTTCTGCTGTGAACTTTGAGAATAAACCACTCTACAGTGCCCGCAGCTACATAAGTCAGCGAGGGCTTGCTTTGAAGCTCTTTTACTGCTTAAGAACATGTAAATACTTGACTGTCCATAGCCCGGCCAGAGATTGGCTTACTAACAAACATAAAAGAGGACACAGTTTAAATATCACCACACGCCAAAACCTAACTGAACAGCACAAGCGAAGTGTCTACCTTCCCCACTCTTGCAACTTGCATCCTTATGTCTACTTCAAAGCCAACCGTGCACATTAAGTTTAAATTTTGAGGATTGCAAGGAGATCATTATTTCAACATAGCCAGCTGCAGGGATGGCGAATAAAGACAGGATATTGTTAAAACTAAAGATATGATCATGAAATAGAAATGACAGAAAACAAATTAAAGTATTATTAAGCCTTAAAGGGATTGTATCACTGCCCTGACAAAAAAATAAAATTCTGTATTACTGGGTTGTCTCCGCTGATTAAAATGACACCACTATCAAACAAGACACTTCTTAAATATGTAGGTACAAAGTTTGTTAGCCTAATTGATTTTTGAGCTGGAGGAAGAGATACGGTATTTGCTACAAGGCAAAAGGCTTATAAGGACAGCAGTACCACTGGCGACACCTGGAGGTTAAAGGAGGGACTGCGTTTGATTAAGGAAATCACATTCTGGAACAAGATATCAAATTCTGTAAATTATTAAAAATCTTGCAGTGCCTTTTATAAGGTGGTTATTTTATTGGTATATCTAATTGAAATTACATTTATATTTTGAATCATGTACTTTAGTTTTGCTATAGTCTCCATATACACATGACAATTTAAAATCTTTTATGTGTACTTCCTGCACGTTGTAAAAGCAAAAACAAAATCACACTATCTTCAAGTTCAAACTGTGACTTGAATTTGCAAAATGGATCCCCATTATATATCACTGAAAATCAATGTGCCCTATTAAACACCATTTCAGTGAGATTTTAAATTCACTCATGGACAGTAATTGTTAGGTTCTCTACTGGGTTGCATACATATGTCATGGTAAGGAAATAAGAACTACAGCATCCTGGAACTCAACCGCGTCACAGTGACCCAAAGATTGGAAAAATAGCATTACGATGTAGTAAAGTGAACTGGGCTACAGCAACACCCACCCAACAGAGCAGACTTGTACTACGCCTCATCTAGAAGACCTACAGTAAGGTAAAGTCAGTGAAGCCACATCTGACAGCAAACTAGAAGCCAGCAGAGAAGAATCACATGCAGTATTACACAGCCAGTACAGAATAATAGAATCACAGTGGATCCATTTACGACCTTTGGGGATTGGGATATCATTTTGTACCCTGCTGTAGCAAATTGGATCATGCTTATGGTTTTTTTTGGCCTTTTGCAACTCAAATTCAGAAAAGCAATAGTATAGCATCTCACAAACAGCAGAGCAGAGTTCCAGCAACTCCTAAGCAGCAGATTTCTAGTATCTGAAAACCATCAAAACCGCCTTCTAGCATTTCACAACCGGCAAAGTAGAGTTCTAGCATCACACAATCAGCAGAGCAGAGTTCCAGCACCTCACAACTAGCTAAGTGGAGTTCCAGCATCTCCCAACCAGAAAAGCAGAGTTGTAGCATCTCACGACCAACAGATTAGAGTTCTGGAATCTCATAACCAGCAGAGCAGAGTTCCAACATCTCACAACCAACAGATTAGAGTTCTGGAATCTCTCAACCAGCAGAGCAGAAATCCAGCATCTCACAACCAGCAAAGCAGAGTTCCAGCATCTCACAACCAGAAAAACAGAGTTCTAGCATTGCACAACTGGCAGAGCAGAGTTCTCGCACCTCACAACTAGCTAAGTGGAGTTCCAGCATCTCCCAACCAGAAAAGCAGAGTTGTAGCATCTCACGACCAACAGATTAGAGTTCTGGAATCTCATAACCAACAGAGCAGAGTTCCAACATCTCACAATTAACAGATTAGAGTTCTGGAACCTCACAACCAGCAAAGCAGAGTTCCAGCATCTCACAACCAGCAAAGCAGAGTTCCAGCATCTCCCAATCAGAAGAGCAGAGTTCTAGCATCACACAATCAACAGAGCAGAGTTCCAACATCTCACAACCAACAGAGCAGAGTTCCAACATCTCACAACCAACAGAGCAGAGTTCCAACACCTCACAATCAACAGATTAGAGTTCTGGAATCTCACAAACAGCAGAGCAGAATTCCAGCATCTCACAACTAGCAAAGTGGAGTTCCAGCATCTCCCAATCAGAAGAGCGGAGTTCTATCATTGCACAACCAGCAGAGCAGAGTTCCAACATCTCACAAACAACAGAGCAGAGTTCCAGCATCTCACAAAATGCAAAGCAGAGTTCCAGCATCTCCCAAGCAGCAAAACAGAGTTTTATCATTTTACAACCAACAGAGCAGAGTTCTAGCATTTCCCATGCAGAACAGCAATGTTACAACCCCTTATGGTCAGTAAAGTGCAGTCATAGCATCTCATAGTTAGCAGTGAGATAATGATCTTTTACAGTTGGAATATTAGTTACAGCATCACAGTTAACAATAGGAACTTTTAAAGCATCCGATAGCA